TAGTAGTAATAATAATTATAATGACAATAGTGGCAGTAGTATTTGCAGCAGCAGCAGCAGCAGCAAGTAGTAGTAGTAGTAGTAGTAGCAGTAGCAGTAGCAGCAGCAGCAACAGCAGCAACAGCAGTAGTAGTAGTAGTAGTAGTAGTCGTAGTAGTAGTAGTAGTAGTAGTAGTAGTAATAGTTGTTGTTGTAGCAGTAGTAGCAGTAGTACAGCCGTAGCAGTAGTTGTAGTACTGGTAGTTGCAGTTGTAGTCATAGCCGTGGTTTCATTTTTGCGGTTGCGGTTATGGTTGTGGTTGTGGTTGGAGCTGTGGTGTTCGTAGCAGGAGCAGCAGCAGTAGCAGCAGCAGTAGCAGTAGCAGTAGCAGTAGCCGCAGAAGTAGTAGCAGCAGCAGCAGCAGCAGCGGCAACAGCGGCAACAGTAGCAGTAGCAGAGGCAGTTGATCCCGTAATAGCAGCGTCGTCATCATCCTCGTCGTCGTGTCGTCCTTGTCGTCGTCGTCGTCGTCGCCGGCGTCGTCGTCGTCGTCGTAGTAGTAGTAGTAGTAGTAGTGGTGGTAGTAGTAGTAGTGGTGGTAGTAGCAGTAGTAGCAGTAGTAGCAGCAGTAATGGCAGTAGGCGCAGCAGTAGCAGCAGCAGCAGCAGCGGCAGCAGCAGTAATCGTAGTAGTTACTGTTGCTCTTGTTGCTGTTCTTGCTGTTGTTGCTGCAGCAGCAGCAGCAGCAGCAGCAGCAGCGGCGCCAACAGCAACAACAAAAACAGCAGTAGCAGTAGCAGTAGCAGTAGCAGTAAAGGAATAGCAGTAGCAGTATCAGTAGCAGTATCACTAGCACTAGCAGTAGCAGTAGCAATGGCACTAACAGTAGTAAGTAGTGTTGTAGTAGTAGTAGTAGTAGTAGCAGCAGCAGCAGCAGCAGCAGTAGCAGCAGTAGTGGTAGTGGTAGTGGTCGCAGTGCTGGCAATAATAGTGGTAGTGGATAGTAGAATAGTATAATCGGCCGTGCTTCCAAAATGAAGCTTCCGAAGCCTGGAAGATGGCGTTGATGTCCGGCTCACTGAAGCCGACCTCCGCCAAAGCAAACCAAAGGCGGTCGAAGTGCTTCTGGTCTCGCTCCTCCACGGAAATTGTGTGTAAGGCTTTCTGAAGGTTGATGCTACAGGCCTGTTGGTGTTGAGAGATCATATGAGAGCACAAGCATATGCTGACCAGGGTAAAAAAAGGCATCACCATCCTCACGCTGCACGGCCCACCTCGAATTGAGCATTCCAGTCGAGATCTTCGGCCTGCAGAGCAGGCGCCCTCATTTTGCCGGGTTTTGCTTCGGGGGGAACATGGGCATGACCCGTGTTCACGGTCCTCGCCGGTAAGGAGGAGATAGGGCTCACTTCGATCCAGATGCAGCTTCGAGAGCTCTTCATCGGAGAGTCCACTGAGCATCTCCTCAGCAACCGTCTGGAACAGGTCGCACGAAAGCTCAAAAATGCCGCAATGCCCCTAAAGCATTGCAGCTCTGCTTCGTAGAAACAATGATAGGTGCGCTCGCGCTTGGCGTGGGACACAACCCTGGAGCTCTCCAACAAGTAGGTCGTCACCTCAGCTTTGGGGCCGTCGGCAAAGCTTGACACATTGCGAAGACGGGATCTGGCAACTCATTGGCAGTCTCATAGATTCACGGGTTGTTGCCGGGTTACAGAAGCATTGACGAGTGTACCAGACTCGTCGAAGAAGATGCGGTTGTACTTGCCGAATCGTGAGGAGTTGTTGTTCCTCTCCAGGTGCTCCATGGGCTTAAGCTGGGCGGTGCTCTGAATGCTATCTACTTTGCAATACTCTCCTGGATCGGAGGAAGCATGGAGCAGGGCCAGGCTTGAAGGCCAACAAATCACGAGCAACAACCTTGTGAAGTCCTGAAAGGTCCGAAAGGCTAAGATGCCTGCCCTCGAAACGAAAGGAACAGAAACAGGTAAAGGCATAGACTGTGTGACCGAGCCACATGAGACGGCCCCATTGTGTCAACTGTCAGGGTGATTCTTAGTGGCTTCGATGATGTAATACGATAACTCTTCGTATAATCCCTGCGTGCTTCGATATTCTCGCTGTCAATTGCAATATTGTCGCTACTACGATCATGGTGCTTGATACGCATGCTTTTCTATTGGTACCTGGTATCGTGTGCTCCTTCATTGTGCTGGTGCAACTACTGCTGCAGCCACTGCTACTCCTGCTTCTACTCCTACTCCTCCTCCCCCTTCTTCTTCTCCTACTCCTGCTTCTACTCCTACTCCTACACCTGCTGCCATTGCTGATGCTGCTACCCACTACTGATTGTGCATTTCTGTAGCTCATGGACCCGAAACCCTCAGCCCTCAACCGCAGCATCCTCATGGTAACGGCGTTACCGAAGGACTCCAGAATAGGCTGCGCTTGAAGAACTCTGCGCTGGATCTGCGCCTGATTCTTCGAAGACTCATGGGCAGCTATGCACAGGCTGGATTTAGGCTTGCGGGATCAAGGTTAGGGCTAACGGTTAGGGTTGAATGTTTGGGGTTTTGGCTGTGAGCGCCTTACTTGGAGCCTTACTCGCTTACAGGTAGAGCTACTTTGCTTATACTTAGTTTGACTGAACTACAAGCAGCATTGAAGTCCCTGACAGCACATGAAGGTTCATGTGTGGGCAAGTATCTCTTGCTTCTCTTTCTGAAAGAGAGTAGCTGCTACTTGTACGGAGCTACTGAACTTCACAGAGACTCTAGATAACATCAGATGCCCTGAGATCGTCTGAAACCCATTTCTTGTCGAAACTCTGCGAACCAACTCACCAGTTCTGATCGAATCTCTGCAAAAACAAGCTGTCCTGCGAGGGCAATAGCAAGCAGGTTGAAGGCTCGGCTTGTGTAGGCCTTGAACAGTCTTGCATCGAAGGCGCCGTCGTCTGGTTGGAGGATCCGGAAACAAAGCCCAAGTACTCCATGACCTCGGACGAACTGCCAGACACCCTACAACTAAAACTACCTTACATTTGCGACTACGCTTCAGCAAGATTGGGCTAGCAGTGTGCAGGCCATGCTTATGCAAGTTTAAGTCAGATCACAGTGCCTCCACTGAACTTCGTGCTTTAACCCCAGAAGTCTGCTGATGCCGGGGCACGATCTTGGCAGTTTCTGTCTTTCCCGCACCACTCTCGCCAGAAATAACGAAGCCCTGGTTTCTGCGCTCTCGCACCTGATGTGGCTCGCCGGATCATGATTTCTGAACAGGACGAGGTTTCGGTGTCCAGGCCCGGGTTCAAAACTTAGGGCTGCGGTTTGGGGAATGCATTTCTCAAGCTCGAGGCACCAGGGCTCGGTAAGCGGTATCGGCGATGGCATAAGGATGCCTCAGTCAGGCAGTTCTCATGATTTCCGATCTGTTTGGAGGCTTGAGATGCTGGAGACACCTTTGTTCATGAGAAAGCGGGTGAGCACGCTTGTGAGAGAGCGCTTCGACGAAGTTGCAACAAACCTGTGAGAACGGCAGGTGGAAGCCTCGCCTCTGCTCAGAGGTTACCTGCGAAGTTTTAAAGGCCCATAGAATCACAGGAGTACCTCAAGACCAGGAATCGGAAACTTAGGAACTCAGGACGAAGCCCATGGAACTCAAGGAGCGCCAGAATCCTCAACTTTATGTCCCGAAACAACCCGAGGCCTCGGTCCTAAACACAGATCTCATTAATCCCAGACACGGCGGTAGAGCACCGATGTGCTTCCCACGATAGCCTAAGCTCTGGCGCTTACGACGGGGGAGCCGCTGCTCGAGCTCGAACACATTATGCATGCGTATGTACACTTGCCTGCATGTGCATGTGTAGATGTATGTACATCCATGCATGCATGCAGACAGACTTACTGACAGACATACATACATACATACATACATACTTACTTACATGCATATGCATAAGACATATATAAAATATACACACCTACGTACTATATACTTCTAAATTCTACCATAATATATACATATATATATATGTATATGTATATAATATGTGTGCACATATAACCATGAATTATGCACATGCGATGTAGAAGTTATGTGTGCATCACATAAAGGTTGTGCATGTATTGTGTATCCTGTAGAATACTATAGTGGACTATACTAGATTATACTAGACTATGAGAGACTATACTAGTCTATACCCGACAATGCTAGACAAGGCTAGACGACACTACTATATTGATCTATACTCTACTCTACTCTACTGTACTTCACTGGATTCGACTATACTTTTACATACTATACTATATAGTAAACTGTTACTCTTGAACCCTGCGTGCCCTTTGAAGAAATGATAGGAATCTAGAAAACATATGACGGAAAAAGGTCGCCCAGGAGCCAGTTGCGGTTTGGGCTGCGTGAAGATTCCGGAGTTATAGGCTGCGGTCAGGCTTCCTACTTGCCCGCAAGTCTTGAATTTAGCCGCACAACAACCGGAAAAGTATCATTTTGCATCCAGCAACGTGCGCACTGCTCCTCACCATAAAGCCTGCGGGCTGGCAGAGAAACCCGAAGATTGGCGTTGAAGGGTTCAGACATGAAACTTCTTTTCGCACTGATCAAAACCAAAAGGAGCAACAGTGGGACAGGAAGGGTGAGCCGCGTGTCCATAGAGCATAGTCGGCAAAGGACATACATGGGATCTACCAAACTCTGCCCAATGTGCACCGGTCTTTCCCCTGGCCTGCCTCGGTGCTACTGCTACCAAAGCCTTACGTTTGTAGCTGATGCTTCTGTCCGAATGTTCGTCGGTTTTCATTGATGCAAAGACTGCCGTTACTGGATACATTGCTTTCGTCGATGCTTCTGATGATGATGATCATGATGATGATGACGATGATGATGACAACCGCAAAGATGACCCTGAGCATGGCGAGAATGAAGATAAGAGTGATGCGGAGCACTATGTACAGAGCCATTGATGGTCAAGCAGGTGATTAGCATCAGCATTCCGAGCACCATCATCACCTCAATCGCCACATATCGCCACCCACTACCCGCTCTTCCAATGCCTCGCAGCGCTCTAACGTTACTATAGGCATCTTGACTCGCAACACTACCTATCTGATCGAGTTCCTGTCTTGCTACTTATTGTAGCACCTATTACCAGTATCCTCTTGGCGAGCAATGATCTACGGCAATTGGCTTCCTATGATCGTGTCTATAGAAGTATAAATCGACCTATCTCTTGACAATTTCCGCTTCCAGCGATTTTGCTAGCATATCCTGCGGGACGCTACACCTTCCCCAGAAGGCTTAACGCAAATCGGGCATCTGTTCGAAGGCTCGAGGCCCGAGCCCTTCGATGTCGTGGTACGGGTTCACTGCCAACAAGACCTCGCTGTACAGCTAGGCATCACTGGAGCCATTGCTCTCGTGCTTACGCGTTGTCATTCAAATGGTGCTGCTCATGATACTACTGATGATCATCACCACCATCAGCAGGTAGGTGCAACCGCCGCTGCTGCTGCCACCTTTGCTGCTGTTGCTGCCGGTGGTCGTGGTCGTGCCGTTGTTGTTGCTGCTGATGTTGTTGGCCGTCTTCTTACCATCACTCAGCCAGTCTCGCCTTCAGTGCCACTGTGCTGGATACTACAGGAGCATTGTTCTTGTCATTGCTGCTCGAGTTTTGGTCACTGCTGATTCAGCTATGTGCGCGCTGCGCCAGCGAGCAGGAATACACAACAAAAGGCACAGCGTTCATGAGGTAGCTCGGGCCAGTACACTCGCCGTGTATGTGTAGATGTCGTCCACCTGTGGGGCGCGGAGCGCTCGGCATTCACCGGCCCTACTCGTTTCTGATTTTTGTGGTCATGGTTCGTGGTTTCACCTCGTGTCGCACTCGGAGATTTTCCAAGATGGAGGCATCGTTGAGGAACACCAGGGAGGTGTTGTCCGGACCTCGGGCACAGAGACAGCACAACTCCTCATCTGCAGATCCAAGACTGGACCGCAGCTCTTAAACCTTCCAACGAGCAGTACTTGACACGGAAACGCGACGGCTGCTGTCTCAGCCGGGATCCTCGAAGAGACCATGCATCCAAACACAATCCCGCACCAGGGACCGTTATGGTTACCACGGCTTCTTGTGATCTGTACAGGCACATACCAGCAGTCATGCACGACCAGCTCTCAAGACTCGTCAGCATTGACCACGATGAAGATCTGTACTAACAACAGTGACAGGCCTGATAGTGTTAGGAGTTGTCGTGTAAACATGAATGTTTTCAATATGCAAACAATCACCACAGCAATAGCAATTACCGCTCAAGAATAGCAGTACATACATACTGAGCCCAGGTCCTGGATGTAAGGAAGGAGCTTTGCAAGTGCTGTCTGCGGCCTTGCACTCCGTTGTCCTCTCCCAAGCCTCAAACACTGAACCCCCAAACCCAAAGAATCCCCAAACCTGAAATGCAAAACACCCCTAAAACGGCCCTCGACTCCTCAACCCTCTGAAATAAGACATATGCGATCAAAACCCCTAACCGCCCTAACCCGCTCCGTAAGCCTTCAACCCTACCCGGGGCCCTGGCAGCCCTCGGACTCGAAGCGCCGCCGCAGCGCCGCCGGGGCACAGCGCAGGGAGCCACGGCAAGTCAGCACAGCCTTAAGGGCTTCAGGCCTTTAATGTTCTAAGGGTTTGGAGTGATGCATCAGCGTTCTATCAAATACGAGACAAGTAGCGCAGATTGGGCTCATCCCTTCAACTACCCACACAGACGGTTCAGTGCTGGAGGGCTCTGGGCCGGGGCATGATGGCGGGCCTCAATGATTACAGCGAGGCTTTTGGGTACATTCTAGTGAAATTATATGAGGACTCCCTGATGTGTGTGCCGAAGACCTCCTTTTCCGGGATTCTGGCGACTTCACTGCCGGCGTGGCCGACGACGACTCCCCCGAGGAAGGGATCCTTGAACAGTGGAAACCGAACACCGTCGGAAGCACTAACAGTAGCAGTAGCAGGAGCAGTTTGAGAAGTTTGGTAGAAGCAGTAGTAGTAGTAGTAGTAGTAGTAGTGGTGGTAGTGGTAGTGGTAGTGGTAGTGGTAGTGGTAGTGGTAGTTGTGGTAGT